TAACATAGTGGTAATTTTAGATACTTACATTTTACATTTTATATTTAACATAATCTTAGTGGCTATATTTTCACCAGGCTGCACCTAGACTGCACCCAGAGTTTAGTTAGATAGTCTTATAAATGTATTTTAATTTAATTTTAACTTTTAATTTTATTTTATCCTAGGTTGCTACCATTTTGAGGTAGACTATGTACACTTTCACAGAGCATCATCCTTGTACTTGTCCAAGACCGCAATAAACTTTGATTGATTGAATCACTGTTTAGAATGCAAATCTGCCTAATTTGCCACATTGAAAAAGGTTAATGAAAGATACCTTTTTAACTCAAAATAATGCTGTATTAGCAATAATCACAGCGTCTGGCAATCGTGTTGCGTTAGTGGAAATTTGGGAGCTTGCTTTTCAAAATTGGAAAGCAGCCACAGAAGCCTAGAATCTTCACTGGAAAAGCATTAGAATATGGTTGAAGGACTCCTGAACCCTTTTCTTTCAAAATTTGTGTCTTTTTCTTCTGGAGCGGTGAAGGAAGCTTTTTCCTTCGAGGAGGAAGTGTGCATCCTTTTTACTTAAAATTGCTGCCTCCTGCAGCTGATTGTGTAAAGACACAAAAACAGAACCAACCCATTGCTTAATTGCATCGGTTAAAGATCTTGTGGCTGCAATTTCCACCCAAGATTCCAGATAGAGAGGTGGGTTTTCTGGGGGGAAAAAAAAATCCTGTTCAAATGAAAGAGTATGATTAGAGCAGAGGGGTCCATGGGATTAGAGGTTTTCATCAAAACAATGGAAGTAGTGTGCACTATTGTGATGCAAACACCATCTCTTTTGTACCTGCACGCAAAGTCACAAAGCATTTACAAATGGTGCAGAGGTTGGTGCATGGTGGTAGTTTCATGATTTGTCCCGCATTGATATCCTTGCAGATGCCTCTGGAACACTGCTCTAGTCACAAGTTGCCCCGTGTTAAATTTGGAAGGATTATCAGAGCCTCTCGTTTAACAAAAAATCACTTGGATCATATTTAATATTGCAGCTATGGAGGCGGTGTGAGGCAATCCAAGACAGCAACACTAAGGAAGGATCATTCATAATCTGGTTGTGTCCACAAGGGCCAGGAAACTAAACCACCCAGAGGCGCTCCCTAGTGAGATGGGCAATGACCAAATTTGAAAAGAGAGGGAGGGAGGGAGGGAGGGAGGAAGGTGGGCGGGCGGGCAGGCTTTGCAAGGACTGTCCGTAGCTTGATCGTATACAAGAGATGCCAGGTGGAAGAACATTTGAAGAAGTCTTAAGAGAGGACAAGCTCACACTCTGTTATTTAGAGCAATGTTTCTCAACTTCGCAGCTTGAAGACGTGTGGAATTCCCCATGCTGGCTGGGGAATTCTGGGAATTGAAGTCCACACATCTTCAAGCTGCCAAGGTTGAGAAATGCTGATCTAGAGGCAGTAATCAGTCTTAATCTTGCCTTGTCTTTCTTGATGAATTTTCAAACAGCAGGAAAGAGAAAGCCAGCACAAGAGGATGTCTTTGTGTTTCTGGACCATAAAGGAAAGAATTGTCTTGCTCCCCCCTTCCCCATCTGTGACTGGAGACTCCCTTATAGACAAGTATGATTTGAATTAGTACATTCACCTCAATGGCCATCGTCTGCACCAGTATGTGGGCTCCATTATTTGAAATGTAAATACAATAAATCTAGCTAATTTTATCTTTGAACAGTATAGACAAAGAAACCAAAAGCTTTGATATGTGGAGGAAAAAATATTTTAATTGGAAAGTCAGAAACAATGTTGGGTTGTAGACTGTAAAATCACAGACAATAAAAAGTGTCCTTATTGTTTCTCAATTTTTTAGAACAATCACCTAAAAAGCATCATACAATCCTGAAGTCAAAGTGCCAAAATTGCCTGAAGTGGAAATTTTCCATGGAAAATTTTGACCCTGGAGATCTTTGCAGAAAATACCTTATTCTGGAGAAGTTTCCAACATGTTCCCAATTTTCCCGCATCTCTGATCCAAACCATGGCTAGTTAACCTTGGAATACAGTATATGTATGTATGTATTGATTGGCTTAACATGCTGCATGAATCCAGCCTGTCTGGTTAGTTTATGAGGTGTTGTATGATGCAAATCCCCAAAATGGGTCAACTCAGTAACCAAATTAAGCCTGTTTATATAATGCAGCCATTAGAAGCACCTCAGCTGAAGCAGGATGTCAGGATGGGGAGTCTGTGCTTGTCTAGAAGTTGCTGAACTAGATTCAGAATGCTACAGGATACCGGGAAGTGTCATGCAGCAACATCTAGAAAGCCCCATGTTCCTTTTCTCTGCCATCACTTGCTCATGAGACACTTGCTTATATTCAGCAAGAGCTCCCCAAATTTCAGGTCAGGGAGATGCCTCAACGTTTGCATCAAAGATCTGGCACGGGATTTCAGTGAAACTGAAATCCTAATTATGGATATTCACTCACCCGTTATAGACCAAGAACAGGAAAGCAAAAGTGTGCTGCCTGCCATGAGACAGGAAACTCCCAGGCAGCATCACTGGGAACGAAGGCGGGAGGTTGTTCCAAAAACAGAAACAGCTGAAATGCCATGAAGCACAAGAAGCCAACACATAAGGAAAAATTGAAGCAATGAGTTAGGAGCATTCCCTAGGCAGGGAAAATAGAACACTTTCCCTCCAGAGCTGGACTGTTTTCCATAACTGGAGTTAGCTCTACAGAAAGCTTCATGGCAAAGGAGATCAGAAAAAAACTAGGCTTATTCTAACTTCTCTATTTGGACACATCTAGGAAATCCCTGGGAGCAAAGGTTTAGATATAGGAAGAGATCAACAGTGTCAGAGAAGCGTCCATGAAAAGCATTTTGGCCAATCTCTCTCTGCAATTTTCTCTCCTGCTTTTCTGCTCCAGCCCTCTTCCCCCGCCCTCATCTTTGATGTTTCACAACAGTGGAAATGGAAAAGTTATGTAATAGAATGGCATTTGGGACAATGTCCCTAAATCCAGAGGGAAATGCCCAAACTCTGCTTGAGGGTTGAATCTGCTGGTCAATCTGAAATTCTCCAAATGTGTCACTGTCCAGAGGAGCTGGGATTTCTAAGAATGACAGTGCCTATTTATCTGAAGGGCATCAGATGGGAGAAGGCAGCTTTTTAATTTCCAACATTCCTCTAGAAATCTTCACTTATGGGCTGGTGTGTGGACTTGGAAAGGATTCCATTTTTTTCAAAATCCTTCCCCAAGCAACACTTCTTCAAAGGAACTTGTCTGTTGCCAAGCAAGAACTTGGGGGCAATTCTTAGACCTGTTTCATTCAAAGCAGAAGTTCCTACATATATAAAATATATGTATGTATGTATATATGTATGTATGTATGTATGTATGTACGTATGTATAGGAGAGTGGTAGGGAAATACCACATCTACATAAGTGTATATGGTGTGTAGGCCTCAACTGAAGGTTCATCTCTGCAAGATGCAGATGTGGCGAAAGGACAAGAACACTTACCAAACTGTATAACTATATCAAGATCTCTTGATAAACCCCTGCTAGATAGATAGATAGATACACATAGATAAACATATGTTAGAGAGAGAGAGAGACAGACCGGACATATACTAATCCGGCACACAAACATTTCTGTTCTGTTTAGAGTTTTACAGTTCATTTTTTTTTACAAGAACTTTATACGGATAAAACCAAACAAGAACTAAAAATCAAAGAGAGAAGTAGAAAACCAGAGTTAGAAATAAAGAAAGAATACAAAAGTGATGAAAAGTAAAGAAAGGGGGGGGGAAAAGAAAATTACAAAAAGAATGTCTTCTGATTTCTTGTACAGCAGATACAGGTAAATCAGATAGTGACCTCTTACTTTAAAACTACATCTTAACATACGTATTTTGTATAACCTATTATTTTTACTAATCATCAAATCCATAAATCACAATTTCTTTTTCTTTTTTTTTTTGGTCTCCTGCAAAAAGTCCAAAAGGGGCAGAACTTTGCATTTGGGTGCTTTTGATCTAGTTAGATCACCCTGTTAAAACTAACATGTGACTACCATACATTCCTAATTTGTACATCTGAAAAGATGACATTCCCCCCCGCCCTTCCGTCTACAGCAGGGTTTCTCAACCTTGGCAACTTTAAAACGTGGGGACTTCAATTCCCAGAATTCCCCAGCCGGCTGGGGAATTCTTGGAGTTGCAGTCCCCACATCTTAAAGTTGCCAAGGTTGAGAAACCCTGGTCTACACAATAAGATTTTCAGCCTGAGCTCTGTTACTGTGTAGATTAGCCAACTTTTTAAATTACAGCCCAAACTGCAGTTGAAGTCTTCAGGGTATATTGACCTGCTTCACACCTTGTGCTTAGCATGTTAAATGAACCTAGCGACTGTGAGCTATTCAATATCCATAGTAAAATTTAACTATGGGCCACCTCAAATCCCTCAGCCCTCCTTTTGTGGTCCCCAGAGCAGCTCAGGGCCAATTTTTTCAATCTCCTTATTTGTTTTTTGGAGGGTGGAGGTTAAGAGAAGATTTCATTCTCTTCATTTCACTCTTTCAACTCTCTCCTAAAACACTGAAATGTTTGGCCACAGTTGCATTAACGACACACCCAGAAAATGGCATGTTCTGAGATTTGTCCACAAATCAAGGTTACAGTATTTGATTTGCACGGATGATTTATGGTAGGTTCCTGAGGGGGATTTGACTCAACAGCCAACATGGCTCCTTCTAACTACATGTGTCTATGATTGTATGTTTTGAAAAAAAAAATCTTAGTTTTGCACGAATGTAACCAGAGAGTTTTGTGATTCCTAAAAGATCGCAAAGATCCAGTCAGACTGACTCAATGAAACAATTGTTCTTTTGCTTACTACACTTTAGAGTTGAATTTGAGAACATGAGTCATTTCCTTCTTTCTTTATAATGTGGGGAATTCAGAGCTCCTTTTGTTCAGTTTAAGGAG